CAGTAGGCTTTTGTCCTCTGATCTTCTTATCTTCATTGTTTTATATTCATACTCGTCCGTTGGAAATTAGACTGTAACCAGGATGTTTTAAATTTCAGTGCAGACTAAGAAAAATGTGTCATAAGAAAGAAGGGCTAAAAAAGTGCCTTTTAAAAATGTGGTGCTGTAGTGGTGTGAATTCTCATGATTAAAGAACTTAGCAAACTTTATGGGCAAATCTACATTTTCAAATCAGGAAGCAATAGTTAGTTCAGTGTGACTTGAGCCACAATAGAACTTTTAAAGGGAATTGGGGACCTGAGGAATTCTGGAAGGGGGGGTCCTTCCCCTGACTCCCTTGAAGAGTACAAGGAGGCCTTTTGAGCCAAATGATACTTTAAAATCAAAATCCTTTTTTTGTGGGGGACAAAAATGGCCTTGGGGCTGCATGTGGCTCATGAGCAGTAGGTTGCCCACCTGAATTAACCACACCTTCCCCTTGCATCTAAATAAGGAGCTATGGTTAATGACTTCCAAACAAGTTCTGTTTTGTAAATCATCTATAAACTATGGCTTACGTAGTGGACGGTTTGGTAGCTATTAACCATAAATGCCTCTGTCATGTATAGTACAGTGGTGCCTCGCATTACAATGTTAATTCATTACAGCGATATCGCTGTAGAATGAAAACATGGTAAAGCAAAATTAATAAGCCCATAGAAACACATTAAAACCTGTTTAATGTGTTCCTATGGGCTTGAAATTCACAGTCCAGCGAATAGCGCGGCCATTTTTTCTGCCCGTGCAGCGAGGAATCCGTCCCAGAAAACAGCGGGGGGCAATTTTGTTTACCCGGCGACCATTTTGAAACCACCGATCAGCTGTTTTAAAATCGTCATTTTGCGAGAATCAGTTCCCAAAGCAAAGTGAAAAAACCCCATTCAGACCATCATTTTGTGATTGCAAAAAGATTGTCATAATGTGGTTTCGTCGTTAAACGGGGCGCCCATCTTGCGAGGCACCACGGTACTGTAATTTCCTGTCTTGTTTACAGTTACATTAGGGAGGAGCAGATTGAATGTACATGCATGCATGAATATTATTCTTTCCTTGGCTTCTTGAGATAAGATTAGAGTATCCAATTATTATGTGTTTCTTTAAAATACAGTGGTGCCTCGCATAGCGACGTTAACCCGTGCAGCAAAAATCACTTCTAACCGATTTCGTCGCTATGCGATTTTAAAAAGCCCATAGAAACGCTTAAAACCTGTTTAATGCGTTCCTGTGGGCTTAAAGCTCACCTTAAACTGAAGATCCTCCATATGGCGGCCATTTTCGCTGCCTCTTAAGCGAGGAATCCGTCCGTACACACAGCGGGCGGCCATTTTTTTTTACCAGGCGGCCATTTGGGAACCACCGATCAGCTGTTAAAAAATCATCGCTTTGCGATGATCGGTAAGCGAAACAGGGAACCGATCATCGCAAAGCGAAAAAAACCCATTTCAAACATCGCAATGTGATCGCTTTTGCAATAGCAAAAACTTAATCACTGTGCGGTTTCGTCGCTAAACAGAGCGCCCGTTAAGCGAGGCACCACTGTATTTGCAATGCTTTTTTAAAAATTTGAGTGGTCATAGTGGCTTGGATTTGGAACAGTAAATACTCGCTGAAACTAAGTATTGAAACATAAAGCATAAAATCAGTTTAAAAGCCATGGGAAGCAAAAAGTCTTAATTGGATGCTCTAAAGCAGGCTTGTCCAACCTGCGGCCCGAGGGCCGCATGCGGCCCAGGTCAGCTCATAATGCGGCCCAGTGCAATTTTTTCTTTTAAAAAAAATTTCCAAAGTTTCAAGTTACACTGCCGGCACTTGCGGCCGGAATGCGGTTGGGCCTTGTCACAACAGTAGAGGGGGAGAGAGGGAAGGAAGGAGTGCGAGGGGAGGGGAGACGGGGACTGTGTGACTGCATTGTGCTGTCCCCGTCAATAGGTGGACCCCCTCCCGGCTCCATAAAGCCGCCGGAGTCGAAGCTGGCAGCCTTTGCTGTCTGAGATCGTAGCTGCTGGTAAACGCGCTTGGAGCGGAGCTGCGGAGGACAGCTAGGGCTGCCCCCCCATGCGGCCCAAACCAAATTTTCATCTTCTAACGTGGCCCAGGGAAGGTGAAAGGTTGGACACCCCTGCTTTAAAGGCACTGAAATTACAGTGTTTAGGATTGTAAATTGCTGCGGGGTTTTTAAATGAAAAGTACATAGAACACTTTTAAGTATTATTATGAAATATAAAACAGGCTTATTCATGAATGGGGCTGAGAGATGAACAAGTGCACTGTCGTAGTCTGCTTTGCTCCATAGATAGGATGTAGTCCAGAGTTCCACATAGAACTCAACCTCATTCTTTATATTAAAATCCAAGCATTGTACCCCTGTAATCTACTTTTCATGATTTTTCACTAGTTGATTCAGTTTTATAAAAAAAGACATTTCACTAGCAATGTAGAGGCTACAATAATGTGTGAGCAGTATGACTTAGATGACATTGTATCATCCATCTTCCTCTCATGCATTCCTGTTGATTTAACACAAATTACCAGAGTGAGCTCCAAGAAAAACAGTGCAACAAACTGTTTCCAAACTGTGTATTATGAAAATTCAAATATTTATTTATTCATTTATTCATATAATTCAGTCCTTACCTTTCTTTGAAGAAAGTCATCAAAAAGATATTAGATTTTACTGCAGTTTTTGAAGTTGAATTGTCCAGACTACAGTTGAGGTTGGAAAAAAGCTGCCCTGGGAATTTCAATTTTGAGATGCTTCAGCAGGATTTCAGTTTTCACTGCAGCCTGGTCTGTTGTACATGATGGTTCATGAGAAGGGCTTCAGGAGTGTTTTTTTTTTTGTGGGAGACAAGATATTTCTGTAGAAGGATTTAAGAACAGAGCAGATGTACTATGAGTAGAAACATGGCCCTTGGATCCTGGTTTGTATAATTCCTATAGACACTTAGATGTAGTTGTCTTTTTCTAGGTAGTTTACAGTATAATTATAAAGCATATTTCTTTGTAGGCAGATAGTGATCGATAAGCATAAATTAACTGTCAAATGTGCTTATTCTTTACAATAATTTTTCTTAGTCCTCGTATAGTAGAATAGTAAATCGGCAGTCTTGCCAGTCTTACACAGTTCCTTAAGCATGTTGTTTGGAAACAAATTCCATCTGAAATAAATGGAATTTACTCTCAAGTACAGTGGTGCCCCGCATGACAACAATAATCCATTCTGTCAAAATCGCTGTACAGCGAAATTGTCGTCATGTGAAAAATAAACCCCATTGGAATGCATTGAAAACTGGTTAATGTGTTCCAATGGGGAAATACCTCATTGTCCAGCGAAGATCACATATAGAGAACCGCCGATCAGCTGTTTAAAATCGCTATCTTCCGAAGCTTTTGTCCGGAAAACAGCCATTTTGCGAAAGGAGGGAACCTATTTTGCGAAGGGAAGCCATTTTGTGGAGCCGGAAAAAACATGGTTTGCGAACGGTTCGCAAAGCAGGGACCTAATCAACGTAAAGTGAAAAAAACCATCGGAACTACTGTTTTGTGATCACAATAGCGATCACAGAAAAGTCATCATCAAGCAATTTCGTCATCATGCGGGGTTGTCATAATGCGGGGCACCATTGTAATGTGTTTATTGGATGTTTTGTTTTGCTAATCAGGGGAGTGTATTGTATAACTACTAATTCAGATATTATTTAGCATTTTGGAGTACATGGAATTATAACAAAACTGGTGGGTTTGTTATGTTGTATAACCTAGTACCTTGCCTTCTCAGTCAAAACTATATATCATTCCCTGTTTGCAGGGATTTTGATATTCGTTAACTAGAGGAGTAGCTGTTAGTCTGTTTTGGCATGTTGGTGAGATAAAGGTGGGGGCGGGTGGGCAACATATTGTGGCATAGCATCTGAAGATACAGATTTGGATCCACAAAAGCTCACCCTGAAACAATTCTGTTCATCTTTAAAATACCAGAATACTTTGCTCTCTCTTTTTTCCTTTCCTTTTCTCCTTTTTCCCCAGTTCATTTTCCCAACAGGATGAGCTATTAGCTGGCTTATTTGTGGAAAGAATCCCCTCCCTCTTCCTTTGATTGCTTTCTTGCATCATACCCTTCTTGTAGGCAGGAGGAAGGAAGAGATTTTTATTCAAGTATTACGCAAATCATTTTGTCATCGGGGATGAAGCTAGTGTACTTAGGGTATGAAAGTTCAGAGTGGTGATTGGTCACCTGTGCTTGATTGACAGGTTACAGGGAAAAACAAAAACCCATTTGTTCTGGATTAATGGAAGTGGAAAGCAGAAAATGAGTATCAGGTAAAACTCTTTTACAAATATTTGCAGTTCTTTAGATGGGTTGCAGACTGTTAAATACAGTATTTAGGTTGAACTCAATGGCAAATAGTTCAGGTTTCAGAATACTTACTTTATGGTAGTGGCAAACATCGGAAAGAATTCTGTTAGCCTACCAAAATGTCCATAAATTATTATGAAATCTGTGTAGAAATACTTATTTCGGCAAGAGAAGAGACAACAGACAGCTGTTTTGTTAATACATGGTGAAATATTCCCCCCCCCTTATGTCTCTAAATTTGATGGTTAATAGCCTGATCCTAAACACGTTTACTCTGAAATAAGTTGTCAGATTTGTTTCCTACTAATATATGCTTAGGTTTGTAGTGTAATATATGTATAACATACAGTGGAAGAAAACATGTTCTTTAAAAGTGGTGTAAGTTTATTTGAATATCTTTGTCGTTTCTTAAAATATCACGATAGGAAGTGTGACATTAACTAATGAATGGTTTATCAGACTTTGCTTACAAGTAAACTGAAAAAATGAACAATGGAAGATTCAGTTTTCACCTAACAACATACTTCTTTTTTTTAAATAGGTTTTTCATGGTCATATTTTGAAAATAATATGGTCTCTTAATTTGTGTGCTGCTGTATTTCAGATTGAGGGACAAGGACATGGGGCAGTTTTTGACTGTAAATGTTCTCCTGATGGCCAGCATTTTGCATGCACGGATTCTCATGGTCATCTTCTGATCTTTGGTTTTGGCTCCAGTAGCAAATATGACAAGGTATTATATGGAAAACTAAATGTATTCATCTTTTACCTTTTGCACAAGAAGTATGAGTACTTCTAACTGATTAAATGACATTCAAAAATGACTGATTTTTATAGACAAATAGTGAATTTTTTATTTGGTAGTTTTAGTTTTAATTTGTCCCATTTGGGTGCAGTTGTGTTTCTTGTTTCTGGCTGTCTTATTATTTTGAAATTACCAGTTAAAATATGAAGGGACAAGTCATGTGAAGATAAGAGCTCCTGAATATGCTCCAATAACACCTGAGAGCGATTTCCAGAGATCCAGCACATGCCCCTTCCTGAACTTTAGATATATATATCCATTCTCATGCCCCTCAAAACCCATTTTTTAAAATTAAAAGCCCTTTTATCTCCTCTAAATTGGGGGGGGGGGGAAAGAGATTTTAATCATTTCTAGTTCTGAACTCTTTGCCCCCATCCTAAAGCAAGCCAGGGTCGGCAAAAGATACTGGGAAATGCCCCGTGCTTTTCCTTTGGATACAAAGGGTTGTTTTAAATGTTTTTTTTAAAGGAGGAATGCCAGAGGAAACATATTGCCAGCTGCATGTAGGACACAGTTTGCACACTCTGGCTTTAATTGATGATTGGGAAAAAGTATTTAAATTGTTTTTATTCTTAAGGAAAGCCTCCTGACACAATTTTGGGTAATATCTGATGCAACAGTTGTAATCATGATTGTAAAGATACAGTAGCAGTCTACAGCTCTCTGCAATTGTTGCCTTCAGTGCTTCAGTCATGAACTGAGTTTCATTCTGTTCACCTGGACCCTGTTGAAACTTCTAGGATTTTGACAAAACAGGTCATGCCATGTAGAGAAAATTGGAAGTGGTGGTTGTATCACCCACATAACTTTTTACTTATTTCTTTATTTGATTTATATCCCACCCATCTGGTATATTCTACCACTCTGGGGTAACACCAAAGGAATTTTGGGCCTGCTTCTGTATTTTTCTGTGCCCAGTGCTCAACCATGAATTTATTTTAAAAGCCAATGGAAAAATACTTATAGGCAGTTTTTAAGTCTCCAGCAAAGACCACTCTGTCATACACAAGTTTAGAAAATAAAGATCAAAGCTAGTACTCTGACACTGCAAACTCTGACACTGCAATCATACACATATTTACTCAAAGTAAATTCCATTGTCTTTAATGAGTTTACTCCTTATTACATGTATTTAGGGTTGTAGCCTTAGTATATTGAAAGAGTGGATATCCTGTTGCTGCAGATGCTCATGAACTAGTAGGCCTGTCATCCCAAATAAATGGTCACACTAATGAGGACTGATAAGAATTGGAGTGCAGTAAGACCGAAGGGGAACAGGTTCCTCATTTTGTTAAAGCTGATGTATCATTTTATAGGTATTAAAAAGTGAGTAGTACAACTGTTGGTTGATGATCACCATGCAGCCAGTGCTTGAAAGAGATGCTTAAGAATAAGAGTAATAACAATTAAAATTAATGTTTTTGTCATAAATATTTGAAATAAGGGAAAGTTACTTGAGCAATTTTGATTGCAATATTTTTGAAATTATACTTCTGAATGCTAGTTTGTGATGTTTTCTATGAAATTATTTTTTTAAAAAAATTCATTTTATTTACAGATAGCAGATCAGATGTTCTTCCACAGTGACTATCGGCCTCTTATACGTGATGCCAACAACTTTGTTTTGGATGAACAGACACAACAGGCACCACATCTCATGCCTCCTCCCTTTTTAGTCGATGTTGATGGTAACCCCCATCCATCAAGATACCAGAGATTAGTACCAGGTCGTGAAAACTGTAGAGAGGAGCAACTTATTCCTCAGATGGGAGTAACTTCCTCAGGTTATTTGACTTTGTATAAACTTCATAGTTTTGTTAGAGTGTGCTTATATTTGACAAGATTTCTAACAGAAACTTCTTAATGTCTTTACTGAACTATAATTGTTGAAATAAGAGGAGCCATGACAATTGAACTAAAATAAAACAGCTATACTCTCACATCTCTCTCCCCCTCCCCACTCCCTCTTTCTCTCTTTTACTTTGGTTTAACTGCATTGTATCCAGATACAAATAAAACAAAAACAAAATTAGCAGCTATAGAACATTTTCTGTCCTCATTCCACTGGAGAATGTAGCAGGCTGGAAATTCTGCTATTAGATATCAATATATTGTAATATATTCTGTGACTATGTTATCCCCTCCCTCCTGCCCAGATGCAGGCAAGCCTCTGACAATTGGCGCATATCAGTTTTGTTTCCTGGCATGATTTTTTTAATCAAAAAGTTGTATTTTTGTCCCAGTATGTTAAATTAGCTGAACCAAAAAGGGGGGGAGAAGAGGCAGAAATCAGTTAATTTGTTTGGATTTATCCTGGCTGTTGTTTTGTGTTTTCATTGTAATAAGCAGCAGCAGCAACAAAACTGTGCACAACAGGTGACTGAAACTTGGAACATCATTTACAGTTGTTCACATCAGTGGTTTTTAACCTTGGGTTATTCAGGTTTTTTTGAACTGCAGTTCCCAGAAACCCCAGCCAGCATAGCTGGTGGTAAAGGCTTCTGGGAATTGCAGTCCAAAAACACCTGAGTAACCAAAGGTTAAGAACCTCTGGTTTACGTGACAGTGCTGTACAATGTCTGCATTTTAGGAGCAGTTCTGTGGGGCTTCTGCAGTAGAAACTGCCACGGGAAATAAAAGAGATATTTGCTAGCATCACTTGTTTTCTTATTGGTAACTGATCAGAATGGTCATAGATTTTATATCTGGGAATGTGTTAGATTTGAAAAGGAACTAAAATCAAATTCTATTTTGCATAGGGCTGAACCAGGTCTTGAGTCAACAAGTAAGCCCTTTGGACAGCATGATACAAAGACTTCAGCAGGAGCAAGATCAGCGAAGGTCTGGAGAGGCTGGAACTAGTCATACAAATAGAATTGGCAGAGGTGAAAAAATATGTTTATTTAACAGTTGAATGATTAGAATTATTAGTATCTGATAGTTTGATGTGCATTCAGGATGCTACATTTGATGAAAGAAGGCATGTAGGAACCATCATCGTGAAGTCTTCTGTCATCCAGTAATAAATAAGGTTATACTTGATGCAGGGAATTGTTAAGCTTAAAGGAATGGCATATATTGATTAGAACATAGTGAAGATTGTGGACTCATAGTAGTGTGTACAATCAGCTGTTTAATTCTGATGTTCAAAATGCATCACTGGAAAAATCATCTTAAGTTGTGAGAAATTTAACTTTAGGATGGTATGGAGTTTACATCTTATATCTGTGTATAATATACTGGCTTTGGTCCTAAATTACGCCTTCATGAATGGAAGGGCTTGCTCTAACCATGGAAGGAGCTAATTCTGGCTGAGGCTTCCACAGGATAAGTTGAAGGAAGTGATTTTTGTTTATATATCCTGAAGCCTCTTGTATTAATTCCAGTATTTTTCTGGAGGGACCCCCAACACTTTGGAGTTAGATTTTCAATGGGAGGGAAATTGGCAAAAATGATCCCCCTCCCTTCCCTCTTTGGACGTCTAGCGTCCTCAGTGGGGATTTAGGCATGGGGACGTTATATCCAAGCCATTAAATTCATGCTGACATTTCCAATTGTTGTCAATTTCATCTTATACTCTTAATGCAATATTTAAAAATGTTGGGCTCCTTTTGTTTGTGTTTTGTTTTATAGGCTCTGTAAACCCTACCTCAGAAGTACATTCACCACCAAATGTGGGATTGAGGCGCAGTGGACAAATTGAGGGAGTGCGACAGATGCACAGTAATGCACCAAGGAGTGAGATAGCAACTGAACGGGACCTGGTAGCATGGAGTCGAAGAGTTGTGGTGCCAGAGCTGTCAACAGGAGTAGCCAGGTAAATACAGGCTCTTGGTATGAGCCAGAAAATTTGCATTTCTTGGATTACAGTTAATCTTGTTGTATATTTTATTCAGAAGCACAAATCCAATGTCAGCTTCCTCAATTCAGTTCACAGTTTCATATAGCAAACGATCACAGATGTGCTACAGGAACAACAGGAATAGCTGAAGATAACAGAATATTATTTTCCAATTTGCTATGTCTGTTCTATATGCACACTGCACCATTATCTATCGTTTTCTTCTTTCTGGTGTTATATCAGCCAGGTTTAGCTGGCAAAAGTCAAAGCATGAAGTTTTCACAGTGCCTACATGTTGTTGTTAGTAGATGATCCTCTACCATACTTTTAAAAATTTCACCTATAGATAAGGAGAAGAAGAAAGATGTGTTTATATGTCTTTTTTTAAAAAAGTGTGTACTTCTGGGCGGTTAACCAGCTTACGGCTGCAAACTGTACTCTACATAGTAAATGTTTTGTGAATTATTCCTTAGACGAAATAAAGGCATAGGCTTGCATTTTCAGAGTGAATTAAAATTTTAATAAGCGGTTTTAAAACTGTAGCTGCTGTTTGATTCATGTTGACACAATTATTTTGAAGTCATACTCAATCAAACAGATTACAGTGGGTGGGCTTGTGCCCACTATCTGCAGGAATTGCTTTGGAACTTGTAATTCACTTACACAGAAGTGCACTGCGACATAAATTCATATTAACATCTAATTTTTTTCTCCTGTAGCAGGCAAGAAGAATGGCGAACAGCAAAAGGAGAAGAAGAAATAAAGATATATAGATCAGAAGAGAAAAGAAAACACATCACAAGTCATGTTCTAAGAGAAAACAAAATACCTTCTTTGCCCAAGGTATACACACTGTTGTTTCTAATACATTGTGTCATGAAGACTACAGCCCTGATCAGAATTACTTGGAAGCAAGCCTTAGAGCAGTAAGAATTATTGCAAAGAAGATGTGATTAGTATCGGGCTAGAGGTGAAAGGTATAGTGTATAGGAAGATTGTATACATAGCAAAGCAATTCTTATGGCAAGCTGAAGATAGATTACTCATGAAATACTCATAGCAGTGTATGAGCTTGTTGGTAGTTAGATGAGCTACCAACAAAGAAATAGCCAGTATGACAGAGTCATGGTGAAGGAAGTATGGTGATTAATTGAGTCAAACATGAGCTAGGTTTCCTCTTTAAGAGTTTGTTCTTGGTCATAATGATAATTTGGGATGTGCACAGTGCAAACCTTTGTTTCTGTTTCAGTTGGTTTTCTTGCAAGTGCGGGCTCTTTAAATATCGTGCACCAGTCCTGTAGTTTATCACAAATGGAGACACATTTTTGGGTAATTTCATTTCAGTTTTCCCCATAGGTTTTTTGGGGGGGGGCAGGGCAAGCAGTGGGACAAGATGAGAAGGCTGCCATTTTTGGTTCAAAAGAGAAACATGTAAAAGTAAAAGTGGAAGGGGGGAGAACAGGAGGAAAACTTGGAAGTACTAATTTTAAAAATCCCAAAACCAACTTGGAGTATGTGTGCAACATCCATTATTCAGAAACGGAAAGGGAAAAAGTTGGAGCTACTTTCCCTTTCTTTCTCCAGTGCTTCAAGAAACCTGACCAAACAAAGATCTGCTTCCTTTTTTCTTCCACCCTCTCTTCTGTTGCTTAGTTGCTATGTCCACATAAGCTAAGTGTTTGGAAGGCACTGTGTTGGGGTTATTTTTTGGTCCTTTTTCCTCTCCCATGTGCGCGTCCGTACTCACCCACCCACACAAAATACCCAGTGTTTTACTCTCTGTTTTCCCCTTCTGCCTGTGACTACGTTAACTTTGGAAAAACGAAAAATGGCTTGTAAACCTTGAAACCCTTACAAGTGCTTTCTCCCTCCCAAGTGCTCTGCACACTTCTTGCAGTAAAAGAAAAAGCTAGATCCTAGAAGAAACAGTAGAAAGAGAAATGAGTGTGCACACACACACACCCCCATCCTCCCAAATGCTCAGGAACTTCTTTTTAGTTAGCTTCTTTTTCTTCCATGCAAGTGTTTCCTGCCCACCTCCTGCTCCCTCTCCTGGTGCAGATTTACAATCCAGGTCTCTTGTCAGAAGGAGAGTATTGTAGCTGATGCTGGCTCCTGACTTGGATGAGGTGATGAAGGAAGGAGGGGGAGAGGAATGCTGGCCTGGCAGACCTGACAGGAGGGTGAGGAGTGTGGGAATAGTGGTTGAGGGAAAGGAGAGGAGAAACCACAAGGCTGGCAGCAGGGACAGGAGGCAGCCATGAATGGGGCAAGGAAAATTTCCAGGCAATTTGGATGAAGGAGGACTTCAACAGAGAAGAATGTTTTGTGTTTTCCCTCTTCTGTTAATATGGATCATATGTGTTTGAGGGGCTTTCTTTTGGAAATGACGCCAAGAATGCAAAACCAAAAAGAAAGTGGCATCTTCTATGTTCTTTCCTTTTATTTTTAAATAAAATTCCCCACCCTAGTGATAATTATGCATCACCGCATCTATTTATTAAAAAGCCTTGGTCGTTAGTGGGGAACAAAAAAACTCTTAGTGTGCTAGAATAATATTCTGTAAATGTACTGATAATGTTTTCGATACATTTGTTGAAATTTGTTCTAGTTTAGATGCAACATGTTAGAATAATGTCAGTAGATGTACTTTGGCACTTTTGTGCTGAAGACTACAATTTGGGAAGACTGAGATTATGAGTAGGATTCTGAAACTGACCAAATATGTATGTGCTAAACCCCTTGCTCAACCTGTTTGATTATAACTGCCAAAGAGGAAAGTGGAAGGATTGAGTACCTCTCATTCTTTAGTTTAGAGGCTTCTCAACAGATCTTTGAAACCTTCCTCTTCCTGATGCCTTCTCATCAATGAGTAGTTGCTGTCTCAATGAATTCTTTTTAACTCAGTAGAAATTTCTTGGTCAAACTGTTTTCATGTACTTTTTTGTTCTGCTATATTTAGTGTGTTATTGCTACCTAATTGTTCTGATTACAGCAATAATTAGTGCCTACAGCACTAATGAGGGGAATAATTTGTTATGTCTGTTCTATATGTTATAAATAATGGCTGTTTTTTTTAAAAAAAACAACAACAAAGGACATCTACCTTAGGAAACCATAGTGCACTCTACTATCTTTGTAGTAAATGTTTGTTTCTGAAAATTTTGTTTGAATGTTCCTGCAACATATGCCATGAATGGCCATTCCTTGGTTGTCAAAACAAAATATTTGAACCGATATTTAGCACTAAAAAAGGGAAGAAACCAAGTATAGTGCATGATTGCTAATGTATTGATAATATGAAAAATTATTGCTCAATGAAAAAGACTAAATGGATGAATGTAAGTGTGCAATCAGGGTCTGTGTTTATTCACTTCACTTATCATTTGCACATAATTTCCTTAGGCTGTAACAAGATCTGCTTTTTGCATTAACAGTTTTATTATTTTATATGTATTGTCATTCAGATTTAATAGATGGCTTATCAGAATCATGGAGGATCATAAAATTAATTCTTCTGTACCATTGGTAACTCAGATCATGTTCACACAAATAGCCATACAGTTTTATACTGTATTTTGATTTGTGTGGGGGTGTCTGTAATAAATAAATATTCATACAAAAATGTTTTAACATGGAAGCAGAAGCAGCAGCTCTGTATTGGGCAAGACTAACAGTTCATCTGATACTGTCTCCACTGATTGCTAATGGATCTTGCTAGAAATGCCAGGGATGGAACCTTTTATATTATACACGAAAAACCTATTTGCTTTCAGCATGCTACAACCCTTTTATTTTACTGCCTTTTTTCTGTGTAGAGTATTACAGATGCTTCATCTGGGTGTTCTGTGTTAACACAAAATATAAATTTGTTATATTTCCCTATTTACATGTTAAGATCATGTGTCAATAGTTAAAAATTTAAATTGTGATGCTGTATTTTTCTTTAAATTAGTAATTCGTTTTTTTCCTAGAATCATTCTAATGATCATATAGTAGATGCTGGTGATTCAAAAAAACAGCAGTCCAACCAACATAGCTACCGTACTAGATACGCATTAGAAGAAACTGCCAGACCAAATGAGGATATGGAAAATGGAAGCAGTTCCTCAGATGTAAGATTCTTTTCTCTTTCTCTCTTTCTCTTTAACAGAAAACATCAAAAACACAAAGCCCCTAAAACAAATAGAATAATAGGTTCTGTGAAAGGATTCCAAATAGGATACATCTATACAAAGTTGTGGTCTGTGTGCTGAGAATCCAAATGTTCATAAAGCTGAAAGGTCCTCAGTCTTACATAACACAAGTCTTTTAACCACAGCAAGGACATGGGAATTCTTTCTTTTTTTCTGATCAGTATTAGGTTTTATCTCATCCTAACGTAAAATGTTGGGGTTTTTTTTTGTGTACTTCCACATTCCTTGTTCTCTCTGTACTTGCAGACACCTCCATTTTGTGCATGGGTAGTGCCATTTTGGATGCATAAAGTGCATGGTAGTGCCATTTTGGATGCACAGAAAATGAGTTTGCTGATAACATAGGATCACAAGTTAACATTGAGCAGCTGTCCATGTGAAATATAGTTTACCCTGGAATTTAAAGAGTATTGTGTACACAAAGCAGTGTGGATAAAAATCAATGCTTTTTAAAGAATCAAATTGATTTAAATCATTGCTTTTAAAAATTATATTATTAAAAAACCCAATTTAAAAAATTTTAAAGCTTATCCACCCTGATACAGAGCAATGTTGGCAATATCGAAGTATAGGGTACAAATGAAAAATATAATGCTGTTACATCTTATGTGATGGTCAAGGACCTCCATTCTTGGAGCATTAGAACTTCAAAAGGGATTAATGGAGTTTTGGCCTGATTATACATAAACTGCTTTCACGGTCAAGATCTAATGGTTTTTGTGGGTTTTCCGGGCTCTTTGGCCCTGTTCTGAAAGTTGTTCTTCCTAATGTTTTGCCAGTCTCTGTGGCAGGCATCTTCAGAGGACAGCGCTCTGGGAGATGAGTATTTACAGCTGTGAGATCAGCTTTTGTGGGTGATTATGGTGATCAGTGTGTTTTTGTTGTAGGTGTATTGTTGTGATAAGGAGGAGAGATTATCTGTCACTGTGATTGATGGGTGTTAGCTGGTCTATTGTGTGTAGTGATCACCAGTCCTTGTGGCTGGGTAGAGTTCGTTGACCTTTTGCACGCTGTATTTTTCAGTGCTGGGAGCCAAGTTTTGCTGAGTTTCAAACTTTCTTCGTTCTTGTTGAAGTTCTGCTGATGCTTGTGGATTTCAGTGGCTTCCCTGTGCAGTCTAGCGTAGTGATTGCTGGTGTTGACCAGTATTTCAGTATTTTGCAATAGAATTTCATGTCATTTGTTTTAGGGCATGTTCAGCTGCTGATTTTTCTGGTTGTTTTATTCTGCAGTGTCTCTTATGTTCTTTGATTCTGGTGTAGATGCTTCGTTTTGTGGTTCCAGTATATACCTGTCCGCAATTGCAAGAGGCCGGCCACAGAGACTGGTGAAACGTTAGGAAGAACAACTGTCAGAACACAGCCAAAGAGCCCAGAAAACCCACAACAACCATGATACGTAAACTTGTATATTAAATACCCCTGGCTATGGTTCATTTTAACCTTTATTTCTAACATTACTATAATGTAGCCTTGATATTAATCAATTTGTTTTCACCTAAATATCATCTTCTGCTGGAATATACCTTGGTCAAACTGTAGCAACCCCAATTTGGAGAATGCATCTTTGTGCATAAAATGCAGATCTTAAAGGCTACCCTTTATATTTGAAGGAATATTGGGCAAAGACTTTGGGACATTATATGAAGGTCCAGAGAGAATCTGCTTTTTAAGATGCATTCAAAGCAGGGAAAAGAACGGTTTATATTTTCTTTTTCCCGTGAATTTGTGGTAGTGGACTATGTGGTGAAAGACATTTTAGTGCCTTGCATAAATAATAGTTTCATCTGTTTTGCACCATTCTTAATTTCCAATAAAGCTGTGCTTTGTAAAAATGACTGAGAACAGTACAAACATACTGTACATTATAGTAATGTTAGAAATAAAGTCATAGGGTATTTATAAACACGTTTTTGGTAGAAATCTCTGTTGGATTGTCAACATGAATTGATTGGTAACTTTATGTCCAAGTCTTATTGTTACTAGAAGTAAAGTTGAGCTATAAAAATGTGGTTACACTTTGGTTCTTAGGAAGGAGAAGTGGTTGTTGCCAGTGGTGGGACATCTGAAGATGAGGGGAGAGCGTGGCACAGTGATGGCAGTTCTAGGTAAGTGACTGAATATATAACGATCCATAGATTCGGAACTTAAATTCTCAGCAAAGTGTGTATAGGTTGCTCTGATGCATACTATCCATTTATTTATTAAGACATTTCTATACTGCTGCTTGTTCTGAAAAGCACAAAGCTTTACAATATTAATATTAAAAAGAAAAGAAACTTAAGATGGAAGTGGATGAAGCAGATGACTTGGGCTGAAATCTCAAGTGGATGCACAGGAATTCTTTCTAGGAGCAAGTCCCCTCCTTCTCTCTGAAGTATGATCTGAAGGTAGGGAGTTCCTCTGGTGTGACATTCCTCACGGCACAAAGGTGAAGTCTTTGTGCCTTGCACATTCATGTGAAGTTTTCTGGGACCTGGTCTTGGTATGTAATGGATTTGTGGTCATGTATGGAAAAATAGTGCAGTATGAATCAACAGGAAATTGTGAAATAAACAAAAGTTAAGTTTGAATACTGAGAACAGTTTTGCTTTAATTAAGAGTCTGTGTAGTTTAAAAGAACTGTTCAGGGAGAATACACAACTAGTTTTTTGCCTATGCAGTACATTTTATTGAAGTAATTTTTTCAAAAGCATTAATGATAGTACTTTAAGCTGTACAGTTCATCAAAGAGAGACAAAGATGGTAGAGTTAGTGCATAAAATGTAATATATCAGTTTTATAAATCAACAGAAGCTCTGCTTGACCAGTATCACTTTGGTGTGGCTCTCACTAGATTGTCTTGATATATTTTTGTTTCTTTTCATTCTTGCTTGATAGAAGATATAAACTAAGGTGACTGAAATGTAATTCTGATTTTTAATTGCTTTTAATTTGTAAAAAAAGTTGGAACTGAAGCAAATTAATATAAACTAGAAAGGCTGAAAATTTAAAATGTTCTGATGTTATTTTAATTACAATATATGTTGATTATAAGCAGTATTAACCTATTGGATATACAGTATGGAAAACAAATCCCTATGGGTGGGATTCAGCTTGTAGGATGGCTGAGAGTTCTGACCCTGAGAGAGGCGGGGAAAACAATCACTAGAAATCTGGTCTTCTCGGTGGTAGTGCCACAATTATGGTACTCTCTTCTGCCCAATGTCCGCCTGGCCCCTTCACTGGGCACATTCAAAAAGCTACTTAAAATCTGGCTATTTAGACAGGCCTTCCCTGAATAAACTACACTCTGATACAATAGTGTCCAGTAATATAACTTCTATCATACTGCCATGCTCCATGGTTTTATTTTCTTCTAAGCTTTTAATTGTATTTATTGTATTATAATTTATCTTCACTTCACTTTATGATTTTTGATTTTCACCCCTATGTATTAATGTCACTATTTGCTATTTTGTTAAACCCCTCAGAGTGGATTTGGCTGCCAGATCGGTGGTATATAAATCAAATAAATAAATAAATAAATAAAATAAATAGGTGAAATCGTAATGTATTGTACTGCATATGGAGCACGTTTTTCCATGAAAGAGCTGTTTCTGTGTTATGTTAGAATGCTAGAATAAAACCTTAGTTAACGTGTTTCTTCCACGATCTCTTGCTGAAGCAGAAGCAGGAGAATTTCTAGAGTCTACCTATTTTAGTACTGTTTCTACTCTTCCATAGATGTTTGTGGAACATTGCTAAAGGCTATTTCCAGTTTGTTAATGATTTGTTAACCCATCCCAATAAACCTAGGTACATACCATTCCTTGCATATCCCTTTCAACATAAGGACCACTCTATGCTATGTCACCAACTGCTTTTTAAGTCTACCTTTATTTTTTTAAAATGGCCTATTGGCCAAATGAGTTTTGTTGTTGGTTTTTGTTCGTTCGTTTGTTTTGTTTTGTTTTTAAAAAAACCTACATTTAAACTCGATGGGCTTTCAGTGCTGATAAATAACCTACACATTAATACAGAAGATGTCATTAACTAATATCTTCTTTTTGAGACATGATCTTACACTTGTGGTGTCTCATCTGCTTTTAGTTGGCTTATTACCTGAGCTTGGTGCTCATTGTCTTTAGTCTCTTTAACAAATAACCTTTGTCAGAAGAGAGGTGAAGAAATGTGACTCTGTTAGTAGTTCTTGGTCTCTTATCAACTCTCTGTGTTATCAACCTTGGTATTTTACTGAATTGACTTTATAGGTTGGGAATTAAAATAAAAGTGATGTGGCAGCTTCACTTCTTTCTGCACAGTCAGTTTCAAACACAACCTTTGGGGATTTTTGCCAAACTGAGTGGCATCTGAGTTATATGACTTGTAAGAATTTGTGTTTCCATTGTGTCTTTTAACACTAATATGAAACCACTGGGTAAGATAACCAGGTGAATGGAGTGAGGTAGTATTGATAATCTTATGATATTCAGCTCTGCTTCTCTTCTGAATGTAGTGAGGCTAAACTCTTATCTGCAGTGAATACAGTAGTTGGCAGGACAACAATGCCAGTAAACTGAAGCTGAATCCTGACAAGACATAAACTCTTTGGATGGGTTGCTGTTGTGTCTGGGAACAGAGTCTGCAGCTTGTAAAATAGGATTGCACTTGATTTGAGGCTCAGGTAGGCTCAGTGCCAGAAATGCTTCTGCCAGCTTCAACTGGTTTGCCAGCTAGGTTTTAACTTGTAAACCGCCCAGAGTAGTGTGTGCACCATTGTGGCAGTATATACGTCTAATTAATTAATTAAAATAAAATAACATCTTGATTAGATTAATATAGTATGTTTTATTGTTTCATGTTTGACATGCCCTGAAGGATACCTGGGAGCTTCTGCTAGTTCAGGAAGCAATGACTAAAATTGTAACCTGTACAGACAAATTGAATTATATTGCACCAATTTTAGAGGAGCTGTACTTGATGCTTGTTTCCTTCCAAGTCAAATTACCTTTAAAGTCTTAAGTGGTTTGGGAGACCCATGTATGTAGAAGAATGTTCTTTCCCCATATCAATATTCTATTAGTTCAGATCCTCTTCAAATCTCTTAGCTACACTGTATCAACAAGGAAGATTCAGTCATAACAACCCCATGGAAGTACATCTGGTGTCATGTCAAAAGTATTTTTGTTTGCCAAGGCTTCAGAATTAGCTGATTTGGTTTGTTTGATTTTGCTATTTATTTTGTTTTGGTAACATGACTAGAGTTTTTATTGTGGTAATTATTTATTCTAAGTAGATTTGTATACTGTAATGATGAGAGGCAATTAGATAAATAGCTGCTATATAGGAAAAAAAAATAAAAACTGCCGAGAGTGGTAATTTTAGTTTTGGAAATAATCTACTTCTGACCCATCGTAAGGTTATATGTTATAGTTTTGTGGTAAATTGCAAATGGATTTGTAGTCATTTTCATTCATGTTCAACAGAAGCATTTAGATCAAATCCATCTTTGTTTCAGTAAAGCTGGTGTAGGAATCACATAAATAGTTCTGTAATTTCAATTCTAACTGGGAAGAGTTGTAATGAGTGTTCTATGTTGTTTGATGGATGTTAAAACAGCAATGACTGAATTGCTTTCTTCTTTCTCTTAGTGATTATTCTAGTGATTATTCTGATTGGACAGCGGATGCTGGAATTAATCTGCAGCCCCCAAAGAAAGTTCCCAGAATTAAGACTAAGAAAGTAGAGAGCAGCTCAGAGGATGAGGAAGGTCCAGAAAAACAAAGGCAAAAGCAAATCAGAAAGGAAAGGAAAAAAGGTATTGAAGATAAAGATGGTCCAACATCACCAAAGAAAAGGAAACCCAAAGAGAGAAAACAAAAGGTTGTATTATAGTAATGTTTTAAAAAATGTTTCTTAGGAATAATTGTATTATTATGCTCAGTATTAATTAGTATGAATTACTACATTTTAAAAGCATCCACAAAATAATGTATTGTAATTATTTACGAACTGGAGGTATATGTTGCTTTTTCCTTTTCAGGACTTGTTGCTCTAATTTCTGAAGTTTTTACATGTGTTAAATTCATAAGGTGAGCTTAATAGTGTCCTCCTGTGAAAGGAAAGTGCCTTTCCATTTGTAGAAGGACGTTTGGATCCAGTTTGTAGATAGTGCAGTTCTATTCCATTAGCTTGCAAGGGGAAAAGTGTGGTCTCCAGAAATTGCACATTGTGGTCCCCATCCCCATTGTTCCTCAATACTTTTGCACTGGCTGGGGCCAGTAAGAGTTGCTGTCTAACAATATTTGGTGGACCACACATTCCCCATCCCTGCTTTAAATGTAATGTAGTTCTCATAGATGTCTTGTTTGTGCCCGTCCAACCAATCCACTGGAATAGTTTCAAGTCAGTTCACTTGTCAGTGGGAGTGACAGTACAAGTGTGACCACATAAAAGCAACTTCTCGGGAGCCTGGAACATTGGTTTATGCTTTTCCTGTTTCTATATTTACTTCTGTCCTCAAGCTGGGTGGGTTTGTAATGGATAATGGCTTGGAACCTAAGTTATACTTCTGTCCATGTAAAGAAGGTGGTGATTTCTGCCAACTCCTCTCTCCATCTGCATTTCCTAGAACATATTCTACATTATTCACAAAGATCTCCTGGTACTCACCAGGAACTTCCAGGGGGTGTAGATGGCATGGAGGGAAACACCGGGTAGGAAGACTCTGTTCCATTTATGTGTACTTTGATTCATGGAAGGCAAATTAGGATCCAAGCCAATGTTTTCATATATTGCCCAGTTATTAGATGGTTGATATGCAGGATCCTGATGTCTGTCTTCAAACATGCATCTGTCATGTGATAAATCGTAAATGCCTGTATCCTTTTGTATAGCTTCATAAAGTGATATCTAGGTCCATGGCAGATTGTAGCAATTTAAGGAGTTCCTTTTTCATTTTTCAATGCATGTGACTTGGCATCATTGTGTGTGAGTCATGCCCAGCCTGAAATAAAGGAGTAATTCTTTAATTAATAGCCGTCTACTGCAGCTGGTGATATCATTCTTGTGGTGCAGTCAGAGATATATTAACTTGGTTTACATGTAGGTCTAAAGTATGGCATGTTGTTTGCTGGTTTGTTAAGAATATTCTGCCCTGGCTTTTGAAGAGAAACTCATTTAAGGCTGTGAGTATTAATATGCATGAGATTCATGCCCTACCTCTCGCCTTCTCCACTATGACCACAAGAAAGAGATAGGAACCTTTTTGCTTTCATTTTTACCATAGCTATTTATAACCAAATCAAGGCAAACTAATAAATAAAAAATAGTGTAGGAATAGGAATCAGTTGGTGCTTTTTAAGTGTTTTGGACCATAACCTCCATCACATAGCTGGCATAGTCTATAGTTATGAGAATTATAGTCTAAAAGATCTGGAAGGTACCAAAGACTTTACAGCTACTTTAGGGGGAAAAAGACATCTTCAAACTGTAGCTTAAGATCCTGGCTTGTTCCCCAACCCATAGTTACCATAGTTGTTGGTTTGAGCAATGTTAGTTGAAAAATCCAGCAAAATCTTCTGATCTGTTTATGGCTATGCAAGAAGATTGGAAGAAAAAGCAAATATGTTGGAGGCTTATCCAGTCTCATTTCTGTAGTGCTGAATATACTGGAAAAAAAAAAGACTGGTGCTGTTTTTATATCATTATCATGCAACATCCCTGCATTTGAATATAACTTATCTCTGGTATTGACATGTACCTAGTGTATCACCATATTGCTGTGCTAGTTGAGGGGAAATAGTGATAGCAAGTGCAGCATGAAATGTAATTATATGGATATTATGGACATCAGCTGGACAGTTGCTGTGACTTCACCCTTCACCTTGACATAGCTCTTTATCTTCTGTCATTTCCTTTCATGAACTTTAAAAAATGCATTCGAAAAAACATTCTTCAGAGCCATGGCCTCTCTTGTACACAAGAGTAAGAAGGTGTTCTTATAAATGTGGTCTAAATGTAGGGAACACTTTCATTTTCTGTTTGATTTTTGAGAGCAGGATCTTTGAAATCTGTATTTTTGCAGAAGTATTCAAAGTAGAGGATTGGTCTACCAGTGGAGAACCTAAGTGCTAGAATCTGTTCATAGATTCCAGCACAACCATCTGTACTGACTTGATTTGTACTTGCTGCCATTTGATTGAAACTACTGAGTAGGAAAATGTTGTTTGTTTTGGACTCCAACTTCCAGAATTCTCCAAAAATTGCCCAAGTAGAATTCTAGGACTTCCTGCCCATAGAGACACACCTTCAGATACCTGGAAACATCTACATTTCACTCACCTGGAACAAGGTCTATCTTCTAGGCTGCTTCAGGGTGTGCATTTGCAAGATGGAAACTACTCCAGTGCTTCCTAGAGGTCTGTGTCTTTGTGGGAGGTGTAATCTTTCTACCTCTTAGGCTCTATATAGGGCATTCCCAAAGACTTGCAGGTCTCCCACAAAGGCCTATGCCTCCTAGGAAGCACGGAGGGAGTTTCATTTTTGTGCAGGAAATGGGCCTGAGACAGCCTGGAAGGTACTTTTTCCAGGTGAGTGAAATGTAGGTGTGTGTGTCCATGGGCAGGAAACTCCCAAGAATTCCTCCTGGTGAATTCTTGGAGAATTCTAGGAGTTGGAATCCAAAAAGCCACATGAATGACACAGCCCTGGTGCTGTAAGACCACAAAACAAACTAGTAGTGAAAGTCATCCTATATGATGATGCCGCATTTCTCCCAACAAGGGACCCAAAGGTTACATTAAGGACGTGTAGGATGCTGAGCAGTGGCTATCTGTTGAAGATACACTCTGAGTATTATAATAAAACTTTATGTTAATCAGACATGATTAATAATGTGGACATTAATTCGCCAAATGCCTGGCAAATTAAAATCTACTGGAAAGAATGTGAATACAGTGGTGCCTCGCAAGACCATTGCCTCACAGGACGAAAAACCCTCAAGACGATTGGTTTTTGCGATCACTATGGTGCTTCGTAAGACAGTTTCTTCTATGGCCATGCTTCACAAGATGGTCTCCCCCCCCCCCAAAGACCGATGCCTCGCAAGACAAATTTCATTTGTCTTGTGAGGTTCCCATAGGGAAGTCGCAAGACAATTTTTTCACAAGACAGCGATTCTTGTGGAACGAATTACATCCGTCTTGTGGGGCACCACTGTACTAGTAAACTTGTATTCTAGTTTTCAATTGAAATCCTCAGAGTGGTGGTGAACATTCATAAAAAGGTGTTGTCACTAAAGACAATGTACCTATTAGAAAATAAAACCAGCACAACAGGAATAGGTATCTGAAGTTCTCTTCACTTTCTTCTTTTCTCTAGATTCCTTTGTGCATGAGACTTGTTCGTTTCATGAGAAGCGGGATTGGTGTAGCTAGAGCAGCATTGTGTTCTAGTTAACTTCTGGATTCCTCTAGTTTTTTTTCTTTTTCTTCTTTTATCACATTGATAAAATGGGTTCAGTGTGAATTCAGTGTGGTTTTTTTTTAAAAAGCTGTGGGCTGACAAAACTGAATGGTTGCAAAAGGAGAATGCTTTGTATCTGAAAAGATTCTCTGTATTATAGGAGAACCATTTGTTTTTGTGCCTCTCACTTGTTTTAAGCAGTTAGGTCCAGAGTTCTATTGCACAGAGAATTAAGTCTTAGAGCAGAGATAGCCATGAGAAAGGCTGAGGTTGTCCATATAGGAGCAGATATCAATTCTTAATGACTTCTAACAAACTGTAATACTAAACTACCTGTTAGGCTATACAACTGAAGGTTGCAGAAACAGTTCTTTTTCCTGTTACACTGGGTTGGTATGTTGCCTTAGATTCACTTGCTGTCGTGAATTGTCGAGCATTTTGCACCTGGGAACAGTACAATACAAGGGCAACCCTATACATTTGGCTGGGTAATTTAGCTTCCATCGAAAAGAGCCCAATAGCTGTACAGTGTTTTTATCTGAACAAAACAGAGAGCAGGCTCTTTAGACTTGTATGTCCTTTTCTCCTTCAGGTCTCCAGGACTGCTTTAATGAGTTTGGAGAGCCTTCAAAATAATATGGAAGGTTAGGTGGGAAGGGGAGCTTGCAGAGGAAGAAGGAAATATAAATTTCCTCCATTTGTTTTTTTTATTGGTGTGCACTGACTCATAACATTTATCAGCTGAGTGACACCAGTTGGATACAAAACCTTGTCTGTTATGAGGATGAATACTGTGCTAGAATACAATTTCCAATATTACCCAGGAGTCTATCACATTGTTGCATTTGGAAACAGAAGCTGATGAGATCAAAAAGTGTACATAGTTTCAGAGTGAGTCTAGACAAGTGTCAGGTTTGTTGCTGTTGCAAACATTTTCCTATTTCTTATGTACTCCCAATGTCTAATCAGAATACTTCAAATTACATTTATTTTTCTATAAATAATTATTTCAAACTATGATTTATAGACTTAAAAATGCTAGAAGATAATTCAGATTACTTTGGTGTTTTCTTAGAGACTGCCTGTTTTAGCAGAAAATGGTTTGACGCTGGAAGAATGGCTGCCTTCAGTATGGATTACAGATACTGTTCCTCGCAGATGTCCATTTGTACCACAAATGGGAGATGAGGTATTTCCTTTTCTGCCTCTTGTTTATGCCTTTCTCTGTGGCTCAGAAGGCCCTTGAACTAGATTCTTTCATTATATACTTCCTATTGAAAAAGTGATTCTCTTGTAATACTTATCAAGCGTGTTTCCTTTCCTACTCCAGCTCTTCCTTTTTTCTTTTGAAAAGGAGTGGAGGGGAATACTCAGAAGTCTGAACACCGTTCCTCTGAAGAATCTTACTATGAGTCTCCCTGTTCTCACCATCTCTAGATGGACATAGTTTTCCCCAGTGTTTTAGTTCTTCCCACTCAGGACTTTGGTGCAGATACTGAGACAGTCCCCTAGCATTTGAATGCATCAGAATCCTACTCATCAACTGCAGACTGGTCTTGTCCTTTGCAAACATTATATCACTGTATGAATGCCCATGGGCCCAGAACTAGCACAAGAACGTATGATACTGCTCTGTCACTGCTTATAACCTGTAAGCATTATGAAACATGATGATCAGCTGTTTTGCTTAGTCAGCAGGACAGTTTTAGGAGCCATTTATTCCAAATCTTCTCCTTTTCTAGTGCTCTGAACATGCAATGATAAAACAATAGGCTTCAGAGTGCTCAGGCTTGAAAGCTGCCCTTTTACTTAGTGTTGGGCTTCTGTGCATTGCTAACCATTTCAGTCTTGTCACATGATCAAGACATAGTATGGCATAAATCATACAATAAATATTAAGAAACATGGGATACCCAGTGTAGTGTAATGGATATGGTTATGGACTAGGACTCAGAAGACCTGAGTTTGAATCCCTTCTTGGCCATCAGTGAAACTGTTGAGGCTACTTTAAGTATCTCACCTACCTTGAAAGCTCTGTTAAAGTTCCTATAAATCAGTTTTCTGACTTGACTCCATATTGCACACATAAACAAAATGTTTGCTTATATTTCATTGTATGAAAAGAAAATGTATCCTTATTAAAGAATAGGCAGACTAATGAGGTGCAGCAGAAATACATTGGTGTTTTATACTTGAGTAAAATACATGTTTGAGAAACTGAACCACAATTTAACTGTTCCTCTTCTGTATAGAAGTAGCAAAGATAAAAGCTAAGAAAAAATTATGGATCTCATTTTAATGTAGTATTGAACTAAAGTTTAACTGTGTAGTTTCTTCTCTCTTTTTTTGATATGCCAGTGTGAGTGCCAGTGCCAGCAGGAGGACAGGTGGGGAGCAGTACCAGCAAGTTTAGGAATATATTAAAAGTTTCCAAAAGTTATTACTGGTCCACTATGTTTAGAATTATTGCGCTAAGGTGCAACTGTTCAAGTGACAGGAAACTAATGGGTTGATAATTTTATGATTGATATTGAATTTATCTAAATTCTATAAATTAATTATCAAGTAGGTCGGTGGAAGCTTTTGTTGTTTATACTGTTGTTACACTATTTTAAAGCCTTTGTCCAGTAATATAAAGCATCCTTGTTTTACAGTAGTTAGGACTTCAAAATAATAACTAATAGCAATGTTGCTTTAATTTCTTTGAGTTTCCAGGTACTTCATGTATTGATTTCTGTGTGTTATTTAGGTCTACTATTTCCGACAAGGCCATGAGGCATATGTTTTAATGGCAAAAAAGAACAAAATATATAGTATTAATCCCAAAAAGCAACCATGGCATAAGATGGAACTACGGGTATGTCTCTTTTTTACCCCTCTCTTTTAAAATCCGAATGCACTTGCTGAACTCAAAAAGATACAGGAGGCTTTTTTTGAGTGAAGGACATAAATACATTTTTGTTTTGTTTTGTATCTATCAGGAGCAAGAGCTGATGAAAATAGTTGGAATAAAATATGAAGTTGGGCTGCCTACACTTTGCTGCCTTAAACTTGCCTTTCTTGACCCAGATACTGGTAAATTGACAGGCGGATCTTTCACAATGAAGTAAGGAAAACTACTAGTAGGTGTGGCTGTTGTGATATTTAGTCATACTACACTGTTATTAAGGGGACATGGTGGCGCTGCGAGTTAAACCGCAGAAGACTTTGTGCTGCAAGGTTGGAGGCCCAGCAGTCGTAAGATCAAATCCATGTGATGGAGTGAGCTGTCGTTGCTTGTCCCAGCTCCTGCCAACCTAGCAGTTCGAAAGCATGCAAATGCAAGCAGATAAATAGGTACCACCACGGTGGGAAAGTAACAGCGTTCCATGTCTAGTCGCACTGGCCATGTGACCACAGAAACTATCTACGGACAAACACCGGCTCTATGGCTTAGAAACGGGGGATGAGCACTTCTCCCTAGAGTCGGACACACTAGACTAAATGTCAAGGGGAACCTTTACCCTGTTATTGTTTTTTAAAAAACATATTTGCAGTAGCTGTAAATTAAAAAATGTATCGAATGAATCTGGATTGAAAGGGTTAGAAAGTAGCCTTTAGGTGTTCATAGCTCTGACCTGCAGAGAAAACAGAATAACAAATTCCTGTTACTTTTTATATATTAGTTGAAAGTAGAGTCAAAGAGAGCAACTTTGGGCAAGACTGTTGTTTTGTAAGTGTCTGAAATATACTGTAACAAAATTCATCAGGTTGTATCCATTACTGTCCAGTTGCCACTTAAACAGCATCTGTCTGCAGAAAGAGTTCCTTAAGGAACTTTTGGAGCAGATTGGGAGACATGGCTGGTTGCAGTGGTGAGGAAAGGAAGGGAAGGTTCTGTATAAAAATCCACTTGCATAGCATTAGATTTCACATAAAATATAGCTTTAAAAGATATGAACAATAGTGCCTGGACAGCCAGACATTGGTTGAATAACTCATAAGCAATGTATAAGGCTACAGTTTGGAAAGAGAAAGGAGCAATATTTTCAGTACTTGTCATGTCTCCCCTTTCTTTCTTGCAAAAAATGTTGGCAAACTTAGTGTGAGTGGAAGTGTTTTGCTTCAAGATTGTAGGGATTAACTGTTAAGAGGGCAAGGGAGTAAATTAAGGTTAAGATAAATTGTCTTTGTCAGTCAGATGTTCATTGTTAATTTTTAGTTTTACTGAATTTTTGACACCGATCTGTTTCCTAAAAGTTCACTATGAAAGAGCAAACACTCTTCTCACGTTATATTATTTTGATTGTATATAGGTATCATGATATGCCAGATGTTATAGATTTCCTAGTCTTAAGGCAACAGTTTGATGATGCAAAACACAGGCGATGGAACATAGGTGGGTATCTTAGTATGCAATTGGTATGGTAATGTTTGGGGTTAATGTTCCCTTGTAAGGAATACAAACGATGTTTCTCATTGGTTTAAGTTCTTGTTCTAAATTAGAAATGCATGGTTCTTTTTAACATAAGGTACAAAGTAATAACACATGGGTCTAATCCAAGAGGTAATCCCAACTGGAGTAGATTCATTGAATCAGCTGCTGAATGGTAAATCAAAATTAAGTAAATCCTACTGATTCTGTAGGTTTGCTCTGTTGGAACTACCAAGTAATTCATGTCTTGGGATTTATGAAATGTAGACTGACAATGTTACACTGTAATAAAAGACTGAGCAAAATCTTGTTACATAACTTTGTTCCAGGCATAACCTGGGTCAGTTGCTGGAAGCATTTAATTTACACTAACTAAAAGTTTTCTATCCCCCTCCTTTTGGGTTCCTTATGCTAGCATTAGTAGGCATGGGCCAGCATAAAGGAATTTATTCAAGAGAAACTTCCCCCTAAAAACATTCCTGCCAAATAAATGCTTTAGAAGTACTCTTTCTCCAAACTAGAATTTTTGCAGTGTGTGTAGATACAGTGGTGCCTCGCTTAACGGGCGGCCCGTTTAACGACGAAATCACATAGCAATGAAGATTTTGCAATCGCAAAAGCGATTGCATTGCGATGTTTTAAATGGGCAAAAATCGCTTTGCGATGATCAGTACCCTGTTTCGCTTACCAATCATCGCAAAGCGATGATTTTTTAACAGCTGATCAGTAGTTCCAAAATGGCCGCCGGGTAAAAAAAATGGCTGCCCGCTGTTTTCTGGGACAGATTCCTCGCTTACCGGGCAGTGAAAATGGCCGCCGTATGGAGGATTTTTGTTTAAAGGTGAGTCTGAGGCCCATAGGAACGCATTGAAAGGGTTTCAATGCATTCCTATGGGCTTTTTAAAATCGCATAGCGACGAAATTGCTTTGCAGCGATTTTTGCTGCACTGATTATCGTCGCTATGCGGGGCACCACTGTACCCAGTGTGGTGTAGTGGGTAAATGAACTAGGACTCAGGCGGCCTGGGTTCAAATGTTCAATCAGCCATGGAAATTCACTAGGGGTGTGGAACTGGTAAAACCACTTTTTGGATATCTCACCTGTTAAGGTTACTATAAATCAGTTCTGACTTGAAGGCACATAACAACATATTGTATGTAAATGTAGTGTGTTATCTATGCTGCTATTTGAGATCTATTGTATGTAAATGTAGTGGGAGTGTGTTATCTATGCTGCTATTTGAGATCAGCTTGCTGCTTTCATTTTAGTTTCAACATGAAAAAGAGGCTCATTGTGACATTTTATATTATTTCAATGTGATGCTTACCTTCCTGGAGCCTTCCTTGACAAAGCTGATCTAGTTGATGCAGTCAGAATGAGCAGGCTTGCTAATGAAAAGTTGTGACTGCTTTGTATCTTATTTACTCAGTACTTAGCAAAAGATTATCTAAAACACTGGAAACATTTATGAAAAACTAATAATTGGTGATATGACTCAATATTTTTGTCCAGGTGATCGATTTAGGTCTGTCATTGATGATGCCTGGTGGTTTGGAACGATAGAGAGTCAAGAGCCCCTTCAACCTGATTATCCTGACAGTTTGTTTCAGTGCTACAATGTCTGGTTAGTAGCTGTGTTTATACATAGATAAAATATGTTTTATTTTAACATCCTATGTGCGCAATCATTATCTGGTAAGTTTGTATTTAATTTAAAACTTGAGGGAATTTTTTTTCACTAGCTAAATATTCCAGTAAGTATTGTTGCTAATGACTTAAACTTGATTGTCCATCTGTCTTTTTTCCCTCGAAGTTGGGACAATGGAGATACTGAGAAAATGAGTCCTTGGGATATGGAGCCTATACCAAACAATGGTATGTGTCTACTTTCCCCTAGATGTACAGAAAGGAGACAGAACTTACTATGTACGTATGTGATGAACTGTAAAGAAGTTAAGCTGATTATGCTGTAAAAAAGGGGGAAAAACAAATCACTTTTTATTACAATAAGCAAATTGTTTGTGAAATGGCTAGTAATCTATTAAATGATTTTTTAAAAAAATTGCAATTCTGTTTGAAGAGAAGCTTATAGTTTCGGCACTGAAAATGTTGCATTTAGATATAGCACTTGGAATACATTTGAATGAGCTATTTAAAATGTCAACCTCACTCTGTTACAGTTGACACTACAGTGGTTCAGATTAATAGAATAGTGTGAGAAGTCATTCTCCTAAAGAAGTGTTCTTAATTTTTGGCTGGCCTTGCTATGTATGACAAAAATTAAGGTCCACCAGCCTTTCACTTGGCTGTGATTGGCAGCATCCAGCCAGCTTTTTGCAATGTGGAAGCTTGAGAAATTGGTCATTTTCCTACACTAGAGGAGGACATCCTCAAGAGATGGGGGTGTCCCTCCTACTCACTTCCACAGACAGAACTGATCGGCCAATCAGGCAGCAGTAAGACTCTCTTAAGAGAGAGGAAACAACCTTGGCTGAACCAGTTTCAGTTTCTGCCTGCACTTTGCACAAACCTGCTCCAACCAGAACTACATATTATTCATAAAGTTACAGTTATCCTGTGAGTCAAGCCTTTTTTTCTTTTTTCTTTTTGTCCCAAAGATAAGCTTCACAGGTCACAAAAGGTGATACTGCCTTCCTTTTGTCCCCATCCCTTCAGGCCTCTTGAAAAGATTTGGCATAAATGGATGTAAAGAGAACACACAAATGAAACAAATGCTCAAACAGTCTAGACACTTCAGGCATATTGCTTTCTTGTTTGTGTGCTTCCAACCTCCACCGTGGGAAAACAATTTTCTAAACCATTTCTATTTAGGTGGCTGATAGCATTTGTGCTATGAGAGTTATGGTTCATGGCTGAGCTGAGGCATCACTGCTCACTCTACTAGAAATGTGACCACATCAACCACTGTCATACTAGCTCTCTGCTGGAGGAAATTTGCAAGGTGGCCCCTTGGAAGGTGGTCCCTTCTTTTGTCAGGCATTACCACATGAACTGCTTACCTCTGCTGAGGTGGTGTTGGGAGAAGAGTCCTTCAGCAGGTGAAGGACCTCTCCAAAGCCCGATTCAAATGGTTTTAATATCTATAGGGGGTAGATGAACCTCTCCTCAGTCCCGCCCTAGAATATTAGGTAAGTCCCATCTCTTGAGGATGTCCTCCTCTGCTACAGGGAAAATTATGTAGCAGGAGGAGGACATCCTCAAGAGATGGGTTGTCCCTCCTACTTGCTTCGACAGGCAGAACTGATCAGGCATTCAGGTGGCAGTAGGACTCCCTTAAGAGGGAGGGACCAACCTTGGCTGAACCAGTCTTCCTCTCCAGGCACCAGAAACATGGAATAGTACAGTGGTGCCTCACTTAACGAGCGCATCGTACAACGACGAAATCGCATAGCGATCCCTTTTTTGGGATTGCTAATGCGATCGCTCAACGTTTTTTTGATAGGGCAAAATTTGCTTTGCGAAGATCGGTAAGCGTTTCGCTTACCGATCTTCGCAAAACGAAGCCCGACAATCAGCTGTTCAGCGGCCAAAATGGCCGCCGGAAGCCCGGAAATGGCCCAAAATGGCTGCGCGCAGCGTTTTCGCGCCCTTGTTAAGCGAGGGGAGGGCGCGAAAATGGCTGCCAGCCATTAAGAAGCATCGCTGAACGGTGAGTTTTCGGCTCATTTGGAACGCATTAAACCATGTTTAATGCGTTCCAGTGGAATTCCCTGCCCCGTTCAACAATGCTTCAGCATAGCGAAGGTTAATCCGGAACGGATTAACCTCACTATGCGAGGCACCACTGTATAAACAATACAGTACATTCAAGAAAAAACGGACATGATAGGTGCCCCTCTGAGGACTGGTTATCTTAAAAGCAAAGCAAAGCAAAGCGTGCTGCTTATATACCGCCCCATAGTGCTTCAAGCACTCTCTGGGCGGTTTACAATTTAATTATGCAGGCTACACATTGCCGCCCCAGCGAGCTGGGTACTCATTTTACCAACCTCGGAAAGATAGAAGGCTGAGTCAACCTTGAGCCGGCTTTGAACCCCAGGTCGTCAGCACAGTTATAGCTGCAGTACAGTGGTTTAACCACTGCGCCACGAGGCTCTCTCAAGGGAGGGATAATTCCATCCAGCTCTTTAGCTGTGAACTGGAAAGAAGGCTGTTCACTTGCTGCACTGAGTGTCACAAACAAAACTGTAAATAACTTTCTAATGAAATAATCTTTTTAAAGAAAATTTGACCATAAGTGTAAAAATTGCCAAATTTATAAAATAATGCTGGTAGGCAATATTTCTAAAAAGTGATACAATATGTTTATTTAACCCTGATGTAGTGTTGCGAGATACTTGCATTTTTCTGTCCAGTCCTATATTTTCCTCTTATCTTGCTCTCCAACATTACACAGTGGTGCCTCGCTTAATGGGCGCCCTGTTTAACAACGAATCTGCATAGTGATGAAGATTTTGCGATTGCTTTTGCGATTGCATTGCGATGTTCTCTATGGGGAAAATTGCTTTGTGATTTTCCCCCCATACACCCCATTTTCGCCCAGCTGATTGGCGGGGCTTCGGGATAATTGTGGGGAAGCGCTTCCCCCCCCGATCATCCCGAGCCCCGCCGATCAGCTGGGCAAAAATGTGGGCTTCGGGATGATGGGGGGAAAGCGCTTCCCCCATCATCCTGAAGCTCTG